GGAGAGCCTTGGGGACCCCAGGGAGGGGGTCTGGGAGGGGACAGGAGACAGGGAGACCCCCAGGAGGGGACAGGAGACAGGGAGACCCCCGGGGATGGGTCATGGGGGACCCCGGGGGACCCCAAAACCCACCGTACCCCGGATGCCCTTCGGGCGCAGCCGCAGCCGCGCGAACTCCGTCAGGACGGCACAGCTGGGGGGGGGGAGGGAAAGGGGGGGTCAGGGACCCCCAAACAACCCCCCCGGGTCCTCCAGGGCAGCTCAGAGACCCCCAGGGTCAACCCGGGACACCCGAAAATCCTCCCTCGACGCCACAGAACCCGCCACGTTCCTCTTGTGCCAGCGCTGAGACCCCTCAGGATCCCTCCGGGACCCCCCGGGACCCTCCCAAGACAACCCGGGATCCCCTCGGAGCCCCCCCCCGGACCCCCAAAAGCAAGCCTGGAGCTCCCCAAGGACCCTCAAGCCCTCCCTGACCCTCCCGTGACACCCCTTTGCCCCTCAGGACTCCCCACATTCCGCCAGGACCCCGCCGGACCCCCCAGTTTCCCCCCCCCGGACCCCCAAACCCAAGCCTGGAGCTTTCCCAGGACCCCCACAGGAGGTCCTGGGGGGGATCCCAGGACCCCCAAGCCCTCCCTGACCTTCCCGTGACACCCCTCTGCCCCTCAGGACTCCCCACATTCCCCCAGGACCCCCCCGGGCCCCCCAATTTCCCCCCCCCGGCTCACGTGAGGTCGCGGTTGAAGCCCTGCACGGGGTTGTAAAACACCTCGTTGGCGCTGGGGAACACGATGGTGGCCTTGCCCTCCGTGATCAGCGTCTCCCCGGGCCCGGGGGGGCTCCCCGATCCCCCCGGGGGTCCCCCCGACCCCTCCGAGGGGGGCGCGGAGCCGTTGGGTGGGGGGGAGGAGGAGGGGCCGTCCATGGCGGGGGGGGCCCTGCAGAGGGTCCTGAGGGCGATTCCTGAGGTTGGGGGGGAGAGAGGTTAAGGCCGCACCGGAGCCGCTTTGGGGGGAAACAGGGCGGTTTTGGGGGCGCCTCGTGGGATTGGGGGGGGCGGGGAAAGGGGAGGAGACCCCCCCCCCTCCAAAACGGGAGAAAGAGGCGGGGAAAGGGGAGGGGGCAGCGGGGCTGAGCCGGGAG